ATCCATTCGCAGCACGGTAAGCAAGTACCAGTGTCTTGAAGTGGATTCTAGCAGTTACCGGAAGCCAGTGAAGGGAGCGGAGGAGCGGAGTGGTGTGGGAGAATTTAGGAAGGTTGAAAACCAGACGAGCCGCTGCATTCTGGGTGAGCTGCAGAGGTCGGATGGCACATGCAGGTAGACCAGCCAGGAGGGAGTTGCAGTAGTCTAGGCGTGAGATGACGAGAGCCTGGACCAGAACCTGAGTCGCTTTCTGAGTCAGCTGGGGACGTATCTTCCTGATGTTGTAAAGCGTGTATCTGCAGCAACGGGTTGTAGCAGCGATGTTTGCAGTGAAGGACAGGTTGTTATCTAGGGTCACACCCAGATTCCTTGCAGTCTGAGTCGGGGAAACAACTGAGGTGCCGATGTTGATTGTCAGGTCAAGAGTTGGACAATCTTTTCCCGGGAGGAAGAGCAGCTCAGTCTTGTCAAGGTTGAGCTTGAGGTGGTGAGCAGACATCCACTGAGAGATGTCAGCTAGACAAGCAGAGATGCGTGCGACGACCTGGGTCTCTGAGCGGGGAAAGGACAGAATTAATTGGGTGTTGTCAGCGTAGCAGTGGTATGAAAAACCATGCGGGCTAATGACTGATCCGAGCGAGTTTGTGTACAAGGAGAAGAGGAGGGGACCAAGAACAGAGCCCTGAGGGACCCCTGTAGTTAATTGACAAGGGTCGGACTCAGACCCTCTCCAAGTCACCCTGTAGGTACGGTCTTTCAGGTATGAGGTGAGGAGGGAAAGAGCAGAGCCAGAAACTCCAAGTTTTTGGAGAGTGCGAAGGAGGATCTGATGATTCACCGTGTCGAATGCAGCAGACAGGTCCAACAGGATGATGACAGAGGAGAGGGATGCAGTTTTGGCAGTGTGCAGTTCCTCCGTGACAGCAATGAGAGCAGTTTCTGTGGAGTGACCTGCCTTGAAACCAGACTGGTGCGGATCCAGAAGGTTGTTCTGATTGAGATAACAGGAGAGTTGTTTAAAGACAGCGCGTTCAAGTGATTTAGACAGGAACGGGAGGAGAGAGACAGGCCTGTAGTTTATAACATCAGACGGGTTGAGAGTGGGTTTCTTTAGGAGAGGGTTTACTCTTGCTTCCTTGAGACTGTTTGGAAAGTGACCAGAAGTTAGAGAAGTGTTGATGAAATGGGTGAGAAACGGTAGAATATCAGGAGCGATAGTCTGAAGGAGGTTTGAAGGGATAGAGTCCAGAGGACAGGTGGTAGGGCGGGCAGAAGTAATGAGGGTAAGAACCTCACTTGGAGAGAGAGGGGAAAAGGAGGTTAGTGTGTTGGTGGAAGGAGGGTCTGGTGACCCAGCGGTGAGTAAAGGTGAGTCAGAAAAAGAAGAGCGAATATCATTAACCTTTTTTTCAAAGTGGGTAACAAAGTCGCTTGACAGAAGTGAGGAGGGGGGAGGGGCTTTTGGAGGGTCCAAGAGGGTGGAGAAGATGGAAAATAGTTTTTTAGGATTGGAATAGGAAGATTGGATCTTATCTTGAAAGAAAGTGCTTTTTGCCTGAGAGATCGAAGCAGAGAAAGAGGAGAGGAGAGCCTGATAGGTTAGGAGGTCGTCACGGTGTTTGGATTTCCACCATTTCCGCTCTGCTGCCCTAAGGACGGTTCTATTAGCACGCAGTGCATCATTTAGCCAGGGAGCAGGAGGGGACTGACGAGCCTGCCGAGATGTCAGAGGACAGAGCGAGTCCAGAGTGGATGAGAGAGTAGAGAGGAGAGTTTCTGCAGCAGAGTTTGGAGGCAGGAGTTGGAACGAGTCAGAGGAAGGGAGGGCTGAGACCACCGACGAGGCAAAGGTAGAGGGAGAGAGGGAGCGAAGGTTACGGCGGACAAGTGCAGGATGGGAAGAGATTAGTTTGTTATGTTTGGAAAGGGATAGAGAGAATGAAATGAAGAAGTGATCGGATGTGTGGAGCGGGTTTACAGAGAGGTTCGAAGTAGCGCAGTTCCTTGAGAATATGAGATCAAGGACATTGCCAGCTTTATGAGTCGGTGGGGACGGAGAGAGTGAGAAAGCAAAGGCGGTTAACAGAGATGTTAGTTCGTCTATCTTCCCCATCTGGAGGTTGAAGTCTCCGAGAAGTACAGCGGGAGGGCCAGTTTCAGGGATGTGTGAGAGGAGATGATCTAATTCCTCCAAGAAGTCCCCCAAGGCGCCTGGTGGACGGTAGAGAACAACAATGGTTAACTGTATAGGATGGGTTACTGTGACGGCATGGAACTCAAAGGTGGAAGGAGTAAAGTTAGGTAGCTTGAAGAGGGAAAAGCTCCATTTGGGAGAGAGCAGGAGACCAGTGCCACCTCCTCTGCCAGTGGGTCTGGGTGTATGGGAGAAGGAATATGCAGTGGAGAGAGCTGCTGGGGTGGATGTGTTGGATGGAGTAATCCAGGTCTCAGTGAGAGCAAGGAAATCCAGAGACTGCAGGGAGGCGTAGCCAGAGATGAAGTCAGCCTTAGGAACAGCTGACTGGCAATTCCACAGGCCACCAGAAACTAGATGTTGGATCTCAGTGGAGCACGTGGGATAGACGAGAGCAGGCCGGTTATATCGATTAGGAGATACACGGGGCCAGTGATAATTGCGAGATGCGAGATGCATACAATTGATGCATCTTATATCTCATATAAGGAACAGATAAGAACTGTAACGTCTGTGAACTCTTGTCATTGCAGGGACGTCGTCGATCTTCTCGGTTGCCCCGGTGAAGGCGGAGGGGCCTAATGGCTACACTGAGCCAGAGGAGAACTGCGCCCCCGGCAGGGAGGTCCCCAGGGTGCGGCTCTCCCCCACCATGCGCTACTCCGGCATGGAGATGTTTGCCCCCAAAGTGCAGTAAGTCAAGGTTTACAGTGGAGAGCTAACCGGGAACAAGCTGGTAGAACACTCACTGATACTTCTCTTTGACCTCATGCAGATTTCGGGACCCCCGCTCTGACCGTGCCCACCAGGCTCAGGTGGGCTTCCAGGTGTGTGTGCGTCCGGGCTCCTACAAGATGGGGCCGCAGACACTGGGTAACAGCGAGGCCCTGGACCCCCGCTTCAGCAACTCCGAGATCGAGTGGATCACCAAGGAGCAGGGCGGCACGCTCCTCTACGGACTGCTCATCCGGGTGGAGTGAACAACGGAGAGACAAGGGAGGCATACGGGTGGGAGGGGGGGGGGCCGCACGGCGCTCCCCACTCTTTTAATAAACTGACAACCAAATCCAAGCCCTGCCTTGAGCGAGAGACTCCTCTGGAATCCAGCTGTTCCACCTGTGGATTGTTGACAATTCAGCATTAAGATTCGTTTTGTTTATTTTTTTTGGGTTGTTTGCTCTTGGACTCTTTTAATGGCCGGGGGCTACGGTGGTCTCAAAGAAGAACAGACACTGCCTGCACTTTATGTTTCGGACACTCGTGGGCGTTTTTTAAACGTTTCATCGACTCGACACAACACGTTTGTTCATTTGCTACCGTTTTTTTTTTCCAACACTTTTTTGTTCTAATTCTTCCCGACATATTTTCTTCCACACAAACATCTTTTTTTTCATTTGGCACTTACTTTAACGCCTCTGCTCTGGTCAGTGTTTTTTATTTAGTTTGGGAGGAGCTGTCCCCTGCCAAGCTGCACGTTCATGGACTGTCACCTAAAAAGACTGAAACGTGGGTTAAAACAAACAAACAAGTGTTTTCACCGAAATATAAAAAAACAGAAAGACAATTGAATCTGAGAATGATCCCAAGAGTGTCTTGTGATTGTTTCATTTAGTGGGGGGGGCGGGAGATTTTAAAACTAGAGGAAGAAAAAAAAATGTTTACAAGTGTATGTTGGTCTTTTCTTCGTGTCTCTACATAAGCAGTTCTTTATCTGTCCCGGTTCTGTTTCGTGGCCGAGCATCACGCCTGACTCATCCGGTCACAGGCTTTAAACTGTGGTGAAAAACTGGAAGGATTGACGGAAAAAAGGAATTTGGGAAGTTGTGTGTTGAGATAATGAATGGCAATGATGTTCCAGCCTTGCAGCTTGTGTGTTACAACTGGGACGATCCTTCATGAGATATTTAAATATGAATATTTAATTCTAGGCTGTTTTATACAGAAAAAGGGGAAAAAGTTCAACATTATTGGGAAAAGCTCTCTTGCAGAGATATCCATCTACTCAAACTCTTAGCAAGTTAGAAAATATCCCGTAATGTGGTACTTTTTTTAATTAAAAAGGTAGATAAATGGACTAAAGGCTTAAGATGTTTTCCACATCACTCCCACTGCCTCGCTTCCCCCTCGTGATTTACTCTACATACACCTCCTCCCTGATCGATCCATTAGTCATGTCTGACTCTGTTTACCTGGCAGGACCTCCAGAAGTGTTTACATGTGAATGTCATTCATTAGGGCTCTGCGGTTCTTTTTTTTTTGTCGACTAACATCATTGATTTGTCAAATGTTTATACAAGGGTTTATTTAATCCATCACATCCATCTAACGATTGATTGTATGTGAACAGCTTTTCAAAGCACTCATTTATTCACAGTCCTGTTGCCAATTTGATAAACAAGCTTACTGAACACGCCCCCCGACATTTTTCACAGTTTTCCATGAGTCAAACTCAAAAAATCTAAATTGAAGGAGCTCAGTCGTCTTCTAAGAGCAGCTGTGATCTGACTGATGGAGTTCAACAGGGGTTTGGCCGAAGGAAAAAACTTCTAATCAAAAGAAAAATGTGAAAGATATTATTATATGGGTTATTTACAGCCCAGTGCTGCTTTGTACAATTTAATTTGTATTGTTTTCTTTATTTGTTTTTCTGTATGTTGCGTTGTACAGGCTGTTACATAACAAATCATATCTTCCTGATTTATACAAAATTAAATAAACTGACAAGACGGTATGCACAGAAGTATGGGTAAAGATGTTTCTTGTTTGTAAAACAAAAAAAGATGAAGAAAAGACAACCTACCAGTGCTTTTGGTTCCTTTTTGTATTTATTTAATTAGATTTAGAGTAGGAAAAAAAAGTATGGTTATAGCAGTGTTGCATACTTACTCAATCACACCTTTTCCAAAATGCTGTTGACTAATTTCTCATTAAGGCCGGTAGTGGGTTCTTTCAACGCTTTATACAGAAATAGTGGCTGCTTCGTCTTGCATTTAAAGAACAGACACGCACACAGTTATTGAAAATGATCAACTAAAAAGGATGCTAAAATTGTACAAGTACAATAACGTACCTCTGACCATCCTGTGTGTGATCCCGTTTGGTTGCATAGTCGGTTTTGTTTTTATCCATCTGTCGCCAGCTTTAAAGACTCATTACTGCACAGGCTTTGACTTTAATTGGACCCTGAGTTTCCCTTTTTTGTTCTAATGTCTAACTTAGAGCTGCCAATCTGATCCTGACCACTTCCTCCAAATAATTCCACATTTCGAATCCGTTTCTTTCTTCAAGATCATTCATGTTTTTTAAATCGGACAAACAGAAATATATTTTGGTTTTAGAGGGTGTTAACTATTGCTGGAACTACTTATTGACAAACAACGCTTTATCCAGCCGCCCAGTACTTCTATGGGAAGTAGATAAATAGTTAAAGCACATTAACGTAACCTTTTTGCATTTCTGTTTTTATTTGCTTCACTTTTCCCCCAGATTCAAGTCTTTATGCTATGCTAAGCTAATCTACTACCGGCTCCATCCATTTATCGTGCAGACTAATTCCCGTCAAGAAAGCAGGTGAGTGTAGTTCAAAAACTCTTAAACTATTCCTTTCAGATTCCAGGCACAATAAGCTTTGATGCAAATCTAGCCTAATTTGCTTAAGATCTCAGAATCGGAAAAAGGAACAAAAGGTTTTTGTTACAAAATAGTATGGTATGAGAGAAACTGAAGTGAAGCTGTTGATACTGAGTTTGTTTTGTGGGAGATTTAAGCAGCGTCGTGTGCGTGTTGAAAGATTTAAAGTGTTAATGGCGAGGGTAAAAGCTCTGAGAAGAGAGACAAACGGACAAAGACGATGTAAAAGTTTGGTTCAGCTTCATTCAAATATACATCTTAACTTCCACGCGCGCACACATACATACAAACTTCCAAATATGCCAGAAACCAACGGCAACAAAAGTCCCAGACAGTTTAAAAAAATAGCGAAAAGTTCTTTGTACACTTCCACATAACAACCATTAACATCTTTCCCGAACCCTGACGTACGACTTTCACTCCCGAACATAAGCATCAAGCTACAGTGAGGGCTTTTATAAAAACGAATGATCACAGTAGTTCAAATAAAATGGCTCATTTTTGAATAAATAAAACGGTGACAAAATGACCTTCAGTACAAACGGTCGGCGAAGGATTTCCACATCTTTTGATTCATCATCACTTAAAAAGAAAAAGCTCCAGTTATCTGACTACAGCAGCTGTTTTTGCTCCCAACTCTCTCACACACACACACACACACACACACACACACACACAATTGTATGTTTTCAGCTGTACTGTACTGTACCCAATATACAAGCTGTTAATACACTTTTCAATCAAGCAATCAACACACACACACACACACACACACACACACACACACACACACACACACACAGCTCATTGCTTCACCTGCTGCACCACACCAGTGACTTTAAAGATAAGCCACGTATAAACCTCCTTGTATAAACCACAGGAAAAGAACCGTCATAATTTACACACGTTTCCTGCACATTAAAACAGACCCCCATTTTTGTTTTAGCTTAAAAATCCAAGATGTTGCTTTTGTTCCTTGGATATACAATCACCACCCCCCTGAAAGCCCCATTTCCTCTGATCCCACTCCTCTGATTCAGCAAGTTTTGAAGAGTTTAAACATTTACAATGTACTTCAGAGAGTTTGATTTTGAGGAGGAGGTTGCAGGTGGTGCAACCGAGAGGCAGAGCAGGACAGCAAAGCTATGGAGAGAGCACTCAATGTTCTTTTTTTCCCTCTCAGGGGGAAGAGACAGATGGAAAAGAAAGAAGGGATAGTTCTCCCAGAATTCATTGTGGCTGGTGGTGGGAGGAAGGTACAAGGGCTTTACAGAGAAAGAGAGACAAAAGGAGGTCACTAAAAAAGAGGAGGAGGGAAGGAAGGCGAGCAGCAATTTGATTCGAGATTTGTCTCTCATCTACTTTACACGTTTCTTTTTGTTTTCCTGCAGGGTCAGCGGCTTCAGAATTTCTTGGGGCCCCAGGCGGATGTTTGCTTCGGGGCCACACCTGTCCCAAACGTGGGGAAATCCTCTGCACTGCTCATGTCAGGAGCCTGGAACAAACATACAAAATGTTTGCTCTTTACCCAGGATGCAATGCAACACACTCGAGGAACAAAACAGAAGTATTTCTCTAAAAGTAGAAGCTGCTTTTCAACAATTTAAAACTACTTCTCTAACGCTTCTACATATCATCCCTCTCTACATTCATTATTGTAGAGAAGAGAAAAATCAGTGTGCCCAACCTTGTTCCCTGATGCGTTCCAAGGGGCGTCCCGCACAACAAAGCCCTTAGCCGGACCCCCGCTGCCGTCATCACCCCCTCCTGCTCCACCGGGCCCTCCATAGCGAGATGGAGGCTTCATGTAGGCTGCCAAGGTCTCCGTCTCTGTCACGTTGAGCATCTGAGAGGTGAGAAAAGGGCCGGAGGGCGAGGAGAATCGCTCATTAAAACGGTCTCGGTACCCAATTTACTTCTTCAGCACTTTACATGTTTAGTGCTAGGATTTCAAAATGTTGCTACCACTACAGTCTATGCACACTCACATATTCCTCCTCCAGGTTGAGCAGGTGGTCCACAGCGTTGTCCACAGTCTCAGGGAGGCCGGTCACCGTCACTTTGTCGGGCTCGTCGGAGCCTGGCTGAGGGAACCTGATATCCACCTGAACGGTAGGAACGAGACGTTATAATATATAAGAAAACAAGAGAAAACCAAATAAGATTGAAAACAAAACCAACCTTGAACTCCTCCATCAGCTTGCGGATAGCTTTGCCCCGGGCTCCGATGATGCGAGCGTGGGTCCTCGGGTCCAGGCGGACATCTTGGCTCACCATCTCCTGCAGCTCGGCCACCAGCTGCTGGATGGCTTGGCTCGCCTCCTCCACGTTACGCTCGTACCCCGAGATCACAATCACATCCTGAAGATGGAAAAAACAGGATGTAGAAAAAGGGAACAGCAGATTAATGGAAATGTATTAAAGTCTCAAGATAAAACACATACTTAATACTTATTTTGGGCAGCAATAATGTACCTGCTGCTCGTCTCCTTTGTCTGGGAACTGGATGCTGACGTCGTGGTCTTTCCTGATCTGAGAAATCACCGCTCCTTTGCGACCAATGATCTTTGGATGAAACTTTGGATCTACGGACATGGTCACCTTGAAACTGCGCAGGGCCTGAGAAAGGACATGGAGCAGTGTAAAAAAACCTCAAACGCTCAAATATCTTTACAATATAATAATTGTGATTACTCTGTTGGACTCTTACCCTGTCCTCCTGCTCCGCCTGCAGGTCTTTGACCCGCTCCATCAGACCCTGTTTGGCCCGCTCCACGTTGGCTACCAGCCCCGTCACCTTGATCACATCCAGCTGCTTCTCCGGCTGCGGCACCCAGATGTTCACCTGCAACATGCAAACAATAACTTAAAGATCAGTAAACCCAGCTTCTTTACCAATTAGACGTACCACATTATATAAGCATGTTTAAAGCAGCTGTAAAAGGCTTCTACATGGAGTAATAACGCCTCATGGCCAGTAGATGGCACCAGAGAGTCAGATCTCACCTCGTATTCCTCCATCATCTTCCTGATCCCGCTGCCCTTCTGGCCAATGATGTAGCGATGCAGCTCGTAAGACACTTCCACATCCTCCGTTATGGGCACCAGCGCCTGAATGAGGAAACAGTGACAGGATTAGGATTAAGGTAATGGATGATAAGAGAGGATAGGGAGCATTATATCCATAATTAAATAATAGTATAATGGCGCCTACCAGCAGGGCGGCTTTAGCAGTTTCACACTTCTCCTCATGCCCAGCGATGGTGATGATGTCACACTTGCGGGGGACGAACTCCGCCTCTGGACTGACCTCACCGTTTTCCTGTGGTGGAGCATCCTGACCTGTCACAAGACGTCATGAATTTAAAGCCAGTTTGGCAGCAGTTTCATGTCAGAATAACACATTTTCCTAGCAGCCAAAATGTAAAAATATCACAAATGAACACAGTGAACAGTGACCACCCAGTGTCAGAAGATCCCCATGTATCCTAAAACCTCACCAGTACTTTCGTATTACTCTGCCCTCTTTGCCGTGGCAACACATTAACAACATCATTAGTCTCACAGCTCTTGTTCTCTCGTGTGCTCCTGACCTGCAGCGCTTTCGTCCCTCTCCGGGAACTTAATTTGGACTTCATTCTCCCTGGTGATGTGCTGGATGCGGCAGCCTTTGGGCCCCATGATGGCTCGGTGGAAGCGCTGGGGGATCGCCACCTCCACACACACCTGGGACTCCTGTAGAGAGAAGGGGGGGGGGGGAGAGAGGACACAGCTGGGTGACAACGGCAAACAGACAGGAGTTCAGATCACATCCATTACTCCTGGATGTAAAATCAAAGTGCAAATATGCAGAGAAATATACGTTTTTTTATGACTTATGGTATCTTAATTTCTCATTGTCTCTTACCAGGTCCTCGATGATCTCCTGGATGCGTTTCTTGGCGGCGTCCACGCAGTCCTTGGCCCCCTTCAGAGTGACCCTCTGACTGTTGGCCCCCGTGCGAGGGAAGCTGACGGCCACGCCGCCGTACTCCTCCGCCAGCTCCCGCAGCACCTGGCCTCTCCGGCACACGAAGTGGCGGTGGTGGCGAGCGTCTATGACCATGCTGTCCTCCACCACATCGTCCTGGAGAGGGAGAACAAGGGGATATTTAAAAAAGAATACGTCATAATGTAAGATACACTTTTTTCATATGCCAGTTGGATTATTCTAACCCTATCAACCTTTGCAATATAACATTTTCACTGAACTTTTGTTGTTGAAATATACAGTAAAAATGGCCCTGGCACTTTTGAAGGACTGTGCTAGTAAAATCCAAATGAAACACAAGAAAGACAATCTGACAAAAAGAGCAAAAGAAAATTAGGTAGGCATACTTGTTTAAGATTGAAAAAGTAAACGAATGAAGGAATCATTCTTGAATATAATTTAAAAAAATCAAAGGAGATAAAAACAAGTAATTGAAATGTAATGACCAGGTTTTTGACCAGGCTTTCCAGCTCCTTCTGGGCCAGACGCACGGCCTCCTCCTTCCCTACGATGGTGATCAGTTCCTGCTCCGTGTCGTCCGGTGACGGGAAGATGATGCGGGCCCCCGTCTTGTCCCTCACTCTGCGAATATTAGCACCGCCACGGCCAATCAGGAACTTATGATACTCTGGTTTGGCCTGGAGCTCCGCTGTGAAGTTGTTGACTTGCTGAAAAGGGAAGGAAAGAAGGACAGAGGACAAGAAAAGCGAGTAAGTATTTTCCTCCTCTATAGTTACTCCATCCCTTTTCTGCCCCGCCCACCTTCTCCTCAGCCAGCTGCAGCAGCTGTTTCTTGGCCTTCTCCACCTCCTCGACGGGCCCTCTGATGGTGACCTTATCCGAGCCGGACCCCTCGGAGGGGAAGTGGATGTGGACGCCGCCGCAGTCCTCCATGATGGAGCGCACCAGGCAGCCTTTAGAGCCAATCAGAGAGTTGTGCAGCTTGGAAGGGATGGCGACCTCCGCCTCCTTCATGTTGGCCTGAAGGGATGAGGAGAGAGTTTAGAGCCAGGGATACATTAAGGTACGCCTACATTTGAAGCTTGCTTTCCCTTCGCCTAACCTCTCTCTGATTATAAAAGGAATGTCCAAAATATTCTCTCACTAAACTTTAAGACTCGCCAAGTTTATGGTGTTAATTTAATCAGACTTATTCGACTGAGCATAACAGTGTGTGCTTGACCTTAGAAAAAGGTAGTTTTCAAGATCAACTTACTAGCTTTCTCCAGCTTTATTTATTAGAATTGTTGAGCATTGTCTTAAATAGCAAGCAAGAGTTGAAAGGGGCAGGAATGAGCGAGAGGACATTCCAACCAGCATTGTTGCATTTAACAACTGCCACCATGTTTGAAACCACCTCTCTTATCCAAAGAGGGTATGATACAAGATATGGCTCAAAGTTCTTAAAAAACTGGGAGGTGGATCTTACATTTTTTTTGTTTTGTTATCTGTTTCTTCCAAATATCCTGGAAGTTGCAAAAAATCTGAAAAGTTCTTACCAGTTCTCTCTGGATGGAGAGGATCCGCTCTCTGGCCGCCTCACAGTTGCTCTTCCTGCCTGTGATGACGATCATCTCAGAGTTACTGTTCTCTGTCGGCAGGTCGATCTTAGTGGTGGTCTCTTCCCGGATCTGGCATAAACAATATGTGTATTTTGAAGCTTTGAATATTACAAAACCGTTAACATTTAACACTGGCTGAATATTACGGAGCTTTATTTAATGATATTGCCTTGAAATGAATGTCTAATAAGTGACCATCAAAGTCTCACCTTTTTAATATTGGCGCCGCCTTTGCCAATGATGTTTTTGTGGAACTGCTTGAAGATGGGAACTGAGAGCGAGAAGCTATTCTCAATCTGGAGAAGAAAGAAAGCTGCTGTGAATTCAAATGTTGAAAGATAAGGAGAAATGGAGAGAAAGCATATGGGGGCTCGTACCAGGTCGGCGATGATTTTCTGCAGGAACTTTGCACATTTCTCCACCTCGTTCTTCGGCCCTCTCAGCTGGACGATGTCACTCTTCTGCGCCGGGTCGGGGAAATTGATAATGACCTGGAAGCAGAGGATATTATACTCGTCAAATGAAATTAGATCTGGATCAAAACTAATTATTTCTCTGTGATGAATGGGAGAGATAAAGCGCAGGAAGGGTCGGAGGAGACGCTCACCTCGGGGAACTTGTCTCGAACTTCTTTGATCTTCTCTCCCTTCTGGCCGATGATTGTCCGATGGAACTTCTGCTCCACGATCAGGTCTTTGGTGCGCTCGTTTTCCTGGGAATAGGACATTTATTTATTTATGCCAACCCACAAAATAAATGAATGAACCACCCTGAACTTTGACCCCATCCTCCTCACCATTCTCTGCACCATCTCAATGAGCTCTCTGCGGGCCATCTGGACTCCTTTCGGGTCGCCCTCGATCCGGACCAGGCCGCTGCGTTCAGAGTCCTGGGGGATCCGCACCGACACCTTGTACTGCTCCTTGATCCGATTGACTGTCATTAGGGAACAGATGATGTGTTTAAACAAGGTAAACATTTAAAAGAGGGTTGCAAGTGTTTAACCCTAATTCTTTTAGAGTTTCAATTGAGGAAAACACGAACCCCCTGCAAGCCTGGAAAAGGGTTGTAGGTTTTGCTGTTATATAGTATATTGGCTGCTTTACACTTTAAAAATGGTACTGTAAATTGTATTGTACTGTAACAGACGTGAATTAAGCACAACCACATCCAATATGATGCTCAACGACAGCTGATATTACCGTCTTTTTACAGCTCCCTTTCTAGCGCTTGAGACTTAATCAAAAGCTCTTTGAGGGGTCGTCAAGATTGGAAAAGCGCTATATAAACGCAGTATATTGACCATTTCATTACAACAAACTTAAATTGTCTTGGAGTTTCAGTGAATGCCAGAATGCATTTCGATAACCATGTGAATAACCGCGTTAAAACCGCCGACTACATAGTAAGACTGTGAAATAATATGATTGCATTTAACTGGTTGTTTCCACTACTGTTTCCAGTGCCTAGCGTCATTATGAAACAATGAAATAATCACACAATCATTTCAACTCAATATACAGAGTGTATACACTACTAAGTACAGGTGGCCTTCAGTGGCTTTTACTTGACATTTAATTGCAAATTGATGAACGCAGCAAGCCCATCATTTATATACGGCAACCAGATAAGAGATTGTCCCTTTTGACTAATGACAGAATTACCTGAAATTAAATTGGTGTGTCTGTAAATATACAAAAATACAGTGTTTAGTGTATATACATTTGACTCGGCAACTGCCCCAACACATCTTATGTACCACATATGTCAGACTGCATGTCAAAACCAGGTAGAAAACAGCAAGATACTAAATAAATATAACATAGAGCCTTGTGGAGACCGTAATGTATGCAGTGTTTCTGAAGTAGTTTTGCACAACATGTGACGCTGCTGACTACGACAGTATAAACCAAAAGCTGAATTTACCGAGTCAGTGGCTTAAAAAGAACAGCAAATAAAATGCTGGTCGCTCTGCCATTTGAACTCTAAAGCCCAGGAGTGTTGATGTCCCAGATTGCTTTCCTGTTGAGATCAGCAGAACAAAGTGCACTCACTGTTGGCTCCGTTCTTCCCGATGAGGTGTCTGTGGAAGCGCTGCTCTATGATGACCTCAGTGTAGTCCATCCTCACCAGCTGATCACGGGGGGGGCAGAGGGACAGTAGTCACTGAACGTGTCCCAGAGCTACAGAACTGAACCCTTCAACTCTGGGTGTATTCTCTATAGTCTACCCTCTGGCTTTATCAGCTTTCAGAGGGTCTTTATTCTAAGAGTTAATACGAATGAACTGCCAAAAGCAATCATGTCATTTAAAGTCGAAAAGTGACAACAACCTTAAAAAGAATATGAGCCTTTTACAAGATATATTTTAGAACTACCCTATTATTACCTTATTATAATAAATATCCCAGGTAGGGCTGCAACTAACCGCTAGTCTCATTTGTGATTTAACTTGTAAAATGTGAAAAATGACCATCACAATGTCTTGAAGAGCATTCTAAAAATGCTTGTTTTATCTGAGCCCTAAGAGATATTAAGTTTCAAATACAGACGTAAATCAATCTTCCTGTACGACGTAAAACGTATAACATCACTATGTCTTTATTTTCACTACTGGTGTAGTCTTTTTCACATCATACCATAAGTATCAATCACATTTTTTGTTATTACTCACCAGGTCCTTGATGATCTCCTGTATCTGGGCCTGAGCCTGTTCCACCTCCTCTGTCGGACCCTCCAGACTGATGCGCTCCTCTCCGTCTGTGAACTCTATGTGAACCTACACACACACACACACACACAGGAAAAAAAGATAACCCATTGACCATAATGCTGATGCCAACTTCCCTCTTCTACATGAAAAGCACTGTTCCTTATTGTCCGTCATATGGTCTTTGATCCTCCCTCTCTTACCCGTGGCAGCTGCTGTGTGATGCGCCCGATGTTCTGTCCTTTCTTGCCGATGATGTAGCGATGCAGCCAGGCCGGGGCGGTCACCTCCACCACCATCACACTCTTCGCCTAAAGAGGGACACAAGGGCTTAAAGGTTCAAATCCAACTTACATTCATAACCTTAATGAAATCTCGAAAAGAAAAAAACACACTTTAAAAGCATGTTACCGACTGATTCAGCTGCAATAAATAACTGGAAATCAAAGTTCCACAAACACTTTTTTTACATTAACAACTGATCAAATGCCACTATGTAATTCAAGGCTTTTAGTAACCAATACCATTTCCCCTCCCCCCCTCACCTTAGCGTACACCTGTGTGAGCGCCGGCCCCAGCTTGTCCGGCTCCCCCCTGAGGATGATGGTCTCTGATCCGGAGTCCAGAGGAGGCATCTCCACAGAGACCCCCGTGGTCTCCAGGATCTCCTGCAGGGTGTTGCCCTTTGGCCCAATGATGTACTTGTGCTGAGACTTCTTCACCTCCACGGAGATGGTGGTGGTCTTTCTCTTCTGCAGGGGGAGACGGAGAGAAGAGACGTGAGTGGCAAGGAGGAAGGACAGATGTGGCACGGTGAGGGATGGATGGGCTCACAGCAGGAGACAGGAAGAGGAAGGACGGACAGGAAGAGGAAGGACGGACAGATGAATGTCAGTCAGTAGGCGGACAGGGAGAGGAAATAAGCTGGCTGGAGGTGAGCGGAGTGAGCGAGAGCGAGAGGGCAACACAGAGAATATATTTGTTTCTGCCTCTCATGCATATGTACTGAATGACATTAGCGTTCTCATCCTGTTGTTCTCTGGCCAAATCCAATTTTCTCTCCCCATTATCTCCAGCCTGTCTATCACACACACACACACACACACACACACACACACACACACACACACACACACACACACACACACACACACACACACACTTCCTCTCCACGTCTCATCCATCTTTTAGAGTGTGTGTGTGTGGTGGAAAATCAAAACACTAGCACTGTTGAGAATAATGATACAACCTCCTCATTCCAAAAACAAACAGTTTGTGGAAAGGTAATATGTGCAACTACGTGTGTGCCATAAACTCTAAACTAAACCACAATCTATTCGGTTATCTAGCAGGGAATAGACGTTGTTATAAATAGCTGACAAAGCGACCAAATGTCCGATGATCCAATACACTAGCTAGCCGGTAGAATTGTGAAGTACTCCAGCTTACACTCAACTGCCATGATTCCATTTCATGTTGTTTAGTTCCTTGTTTTGCTTTTGGGGTTTTCTTGAGATGCTCACAGTGATAGGTAAGAAATATGTAACAAATATAGATTAAAGACTGACATTAAACAGCAGCCAAAAAAAACAAAACAACAACAAATAGTTCATCATAATATTAACAGTTAAAGGTCAGGTAAGAGTCTAAATTAAGCTGATTCATCAACTACTGTATAAACAATATTTATGGTTGGAATGTAAACGGCCAAGTTTTCCTCTACGAGGATACTTAATGAGATTACAGATTTAAGACCACTTTCTACAAATATAGGTAACGGTTTGGTTTTTCAGCTGTTCTTCAAAACCAATTTTACATTACAAACCAATTGTAAAGTCAACCAGGAAGCGCACCTTGTCGTCGTAGATGGCTCGGATGCGGCTGAGCGCCATGGCGACGGCCTCCTTCTCCCCGGTGATGACGATCTCGTCCTTGGGCAGGCTGGGGGGGGGGATGCTGATGCGAGCGCCCGTCTCCTGGCTCAGCTCCTGCACCAGCCGGTTGTGGGCTCCGGCGATGAAGGGGTGGAAGGCCTTCTCCAGGGAGAGACGCTCCACCGCACGCTTGTCCTGGTGAGCGTGGGGGGGGGGGGGGGGGGGGGGGGTCAATGAAACAATAGAATATGTAAATAGGGACTGCCAAGATCATAGAGGCAATAAAGTCAAGTTTCAAAGAAGCGAAACATTTAGTCTCTGACCGGGGATTTGAACCTATACTTCTGGTTTCAGGGCGACGTTCTTTAAGCTCACCTGTTCAGCAGAGATCAGAAGTATTTCGTGGCGGGCTTTCTCGATGCCCTCCTTGGTGCCGGTGATGCGGATGTTGGTGCTGGGGTCGTCAGGGCGTGGAATAGCGATCTTGGTGGCGGTCTTCAGCTCCAGCTCCTGCAGCTTCTCGCCGTTCTTACCGATGACAAAACGGTGGTGCTCCTTAGGGATGGCGACCGTAGCTGAGGCCTGAGTGGGAGAGAGGAAGTGAGTAAGACTTGCATTGTTACACATTGGAAAATGGCCGAAAATCATTGGATCAGTGTGCGTTATCTTGCAGGAACTGATCTAAATGGCATTAAATCAATCTTTAAAGTTCAGATATATCCTTACAAATATAGAATTGTTGAAGTTTCCACATTCATATGATATTAGAGAAGAGAAAATTAGTTTTGTTTCTCACATTTCTAGTTTACCAAGGACATTATTAATGGCAACAGTGGAATATGTGTGTTTTTTAGTTAGGTAAACAAAAACAGAAGCATTTGACCTTGCGAAAAAGCCAGATTGTTTTCCTGCACCATTGTATCAATAACTGCAGCTCAGCTAAACAGGTGGACTTCGGTGCAGGTATTGAAGTGGAAATCAGCATGTTTACTGCTGAAGCCCAAGAAGGCGGCCGCCGGGAGCTGACGGTCATTTTTCAACTCAACTTTTTGTCCTAAAGCGACCTGCCTGCACGGGCTATGCTATATCAATTTGTGTGAGTATGAAAAAAAGAACAAATGGCAATAAAGGTAACAGATTGAAGCATTCAAATGTCTTTGATCCAACCCATAGGTTGAAGTGGAGCAGGTAATTGTTTCCTGTTCAAAGAAACATCTGTTACTTTTGGTATTTATATTTTTTTTTAATGAATTTAAAATAGTAATGAGTAATCAACAGATGCTAATTATTCGACACCAGCACATAACAGGCTTGCACCAACATAGATTGTAACACACTGTATCACTGCCAAGAAGATATGATAGGCATTTTTTTATTGTTATTTCCGTGATGTCATGACGTTCTACAACTGTGTAACAAAGGCTACAAATTGCATATATAGAAAAACAACATATATAGTTTATATTTTTCCAAGTCAGATGCAATATTGGTAACATTACTTTAATTTGCAAGAATGGACTTGACCTTAAATTATTTAGACGAAGGTGTCTGCTGAACATTTATTGAGCCAAAGAAAGACAGCATTTTAAATAGATCTTATCAACATAAAAGCACCCTGCCATGACTTCAGTATCCTAGCAGTATGAACATGTAACAAACCCCTGCGGTCAGTTTACCTGTGTCTGCAGGCGAGCTACGATCTCCTTGCGAGCCTTCATGACGGAGTCCAGTTTTCCGGTGACCATGATGGACAGGCCCTGGTCTTTGGCCAGAGACAGCTCAATGTGGGCCCCCGTGCGCTGCATGATGTCCAGGCACACTTTGGCCTCCTCGCCCTCCCCGAACTGGCTGTTGTCCTTGTAGCGACGCTCCTCCAGGGGAACATGGAACACCTACACACAGAGCGGGTGAGGTTTTTTTTGCATGATTAATAGACCTTAAAATGACAGACCAAGTGTTTTCCAATACATTTAAAGACTTCTAGTTTCATGTCTTTATTGTCATTTGCACATTAGCTACAGTGTAGATATGGCAATGAAAAACGTAGGTCACAGGCTCCTCCAACAGTGCATATATATATATATATATATATATATATATATATATATATATATATAGGACATAGAAAAACTAGTGCAAGAGAATGTTTTGACATTTGTAAGTAAACACAAATCAAATAGAATATAAATAGTGCAAGAAGAGACTTGTATCTGTATATACATACTGTTTCCTGTTTATGTTCTTAGTGACTGGCTGCCTGACCTGGGTGATGACAGAGGCTTTGATGGGCCTGATCTTGCCCCCCCACGCTGAAGCTGGCTCCCCCGCCTTTTCCCCCGACGCCTCCTTCTCTGGCAGAGGAGGGAAGGCCTCCAGGTAGGTGGGGATGTAGGCCTCATCCTCCGGGACGCAGCCTGGCCCGGAGACACACGAAGGAAGGGATGAAATCAAGGACAGAGGGAAAACACAGAATGCATGTATGGATTGTTGAAGGAGCATGTCAAATGAAAACATAGATAATACAGGAATAGGTATGATGTTTAAAGGAGGACCTCAAAAATCGCGCCACCCTCAGGAAGAATCTTTACAAAATACACAAAACGAGAATGTACCGCAAAGGCAGAATATGTTTGCCTCACCGTTTTGACTAAAAAGTCACAAGTAGCTTGAGCTTCTGAGGTAAACCTCTTCTTCTTACTAAAAGTATAAAGAGATGAGTTGATGACAGGCGGAGGTTACCTGTGTTCTCCTGGTCCTTCAGGCCACTGCGATGCTCTGCAAAGCTCTCCGGGGTCAACACTGCCACTGAGCTCATGGTCTAAGATTTATTCCGCTATTCCACTAAGAGGTGGGAAAGGATGGAGTATAACAAAAAAGACATTAGTTGCTGCATCTGCGTATTCCTAAAATAGTTAAACCCTCTGCAAAAAGGCACAATAACTGGTTCTCCTTCCCTCCCTCGGTTTGTATTTTCTCTACGCTTGCTTTCCATGAATCCCAGAAGACTAGCTTCGCAGCACCGATGCAACATGTTACACCTGAGATGCTCCAATTAACACTTTAGAGGCCTCAGACAAACACACAGCGCCCCGGGGAGCGAGTTATCACAAGTCTGAGCGCCGTCTAAAAACACCCGCTGCCTGCTGGTGCTCCTTGTGATTCAGAATCACGGGGTCTTCCCAGAGTGCTTTTTAAAAAGTCAAATGAAAGAACTATAAATCTGCAAACTGTTCCTCTGACTGTGCAAGTTTTTGTAAACTGAGCACAAAGAGAGTGTTGTGATTTAGGGAGGATATTGGCTTTGGCTTCAAAGTCCTAAAAGAAACCACACATTTAGGAAAACTCCTAAAAATGTGTTTTCTATTTAAGAGTTAGTGGAGAAAATCTTTTACTTCTATCAATTGGATTTCTTGGAATGAGCAATGGAAATAACGGTTGAGCATCCTGAGATTATTGGAACCATTTATTTGTACGTAATATTTCTGCAAAGAGAAGTTTTCCTCGCTCTTAAATAGACATGTAAATCCATCCCCTCACTGCGAAAGGCCTCTGGAGTACAACAGAGACTTTGTGTTGTAATCTAATATCTGTGGCATGCTCCAATAAGATGGCTTCTGCCGAAATGTAACTGTGCTCTCGGTGAAGATAATATCTGTCGAGTGAAATCTCCTCCTGCTGGTAAAGACCCCCTTAAAAGCCCTGAAAATGAAACTACACAAAAGAAGTATCTCACGGAGGGAAAAGCAGCCGCGTAGGCAATATAAGAGGACACAGTAACGCTAAGTTAAAGCTGTGGGAGAATCGATCAAATTGTATTTTACAAAGTGAGCCCACGCTTACCTGCAAAAGGTCAATTGCCAGAGAGTCCGTCCAGTTAGTGGCTACCGTAGGCGCTTCAGTGTGAGTGTGTGTTTCAGCTCCTGGGTGCACAGAGAAAAGAGTGAACACTGTAAATCAAAAAGGCTGTAGTAGCAGCAGCACGGAGGCTGGGTGAACACTGAACACCCACACTGCACTGCACCTTACTCCGCCTGGATCTGATTCACTCTCCTCCCCTCCCCTCCCCACATCTCTCTGCTCATCTTCCCTCCATAGTTCTACACACTCATTGGCTCAGGAAATTAGAAAATGAATGTAACCACAGAATATGAGAATATACGTGTAGCTGATCACACAGAATAATTATGCAATGCCTTTTCTCTCTTACTTGTTTTAGGTTTAGATCTTGGTGTTGAATTGGGTTCACAGGGGGCTTGGGGGGCCCAGCTGTGCTGCCAAAACTCTTAAACTTCGTTTTTAATTGCTAGTTGAGATGAAAATGTATTCTAAGATAACAAAATTGCTACAGTAAAGTTTCAGAAAGTTAATTAAATGATGTAGAGAAAATGTGGAATATTTCCAAATGAAGGAATAGTGCGGACACAGAATATATGGAGTCTTGGGTTTAATGTTTCATCAAAAGTGAAATCAATCTGTTAGAGATTGTGTTGTATTTCAAATGCAAATACATCTACAGTTATTTGAATTTGACTATTGAGCAATAGTTTATTTGCAGAAATAAGATACATACCATAACTACAATGAATTTATGAAATATGATAGATCTTACATCATTGTACACCTAATAGAGCAGCAGGAATAAGCCCAACATTGAACAAATACTACAGGTAACGGCTACACATTAATGAAGCAATAATAATTAATGTGATAAGAAACGTAATACAACTGACTGAGGACGTTATCATATAATGACATATAATGTATTTGGCTATTAATGCTTAGGTACATGTACAACAATCGCACGCGCGCACAGACACACACACACGTTTGCACAGCAGGTACAACTGTGAACTCAGTACTTTTAATTGTTTGTATTGTGTAGTTTGGTATTGCCACAATACTTCTTCTACCATTGGTTAAAGGGTTAAATAAGTAACTACTGCCGCAAGTTTCCTATTGTGGCTCAGAGCCTGCTAACACTTTGTTACATTGCTAACAATTATACTGAAATTCTATAAATGAATGAAAGAAACAAAGAACATTTGGTTCTCTGTAATACAGTATAGCGTTTCTTTAGCCACCACTGTGCCTAACAATACTAGTACCACCAGTTATCGACAGGAAAAATGAAATAAAGACGGTGAAATTAATCCCACCGTGCACCATGCTAGCTAACGGTTCAGTGAGACGCATCTCTCTTTAGCCGATGTATTGCTAGCTTGAGGATGCACTGCATGGCTTAATCTGCAAGCATAGGCGGACACATGCAAAGGGTTTGAAACATTATTCAGCCGGGTTTGCAAGGCTAACACACATCACTGTACTCCGACCTCAGCCGGAGATGATTAGGCGCAAGGACTTTCTGATAATCGGCTAAAAAACAAGACAGGCGGACAGATATCCAGCTCCGGGGGCGCTGTAAAGGCTGCTTCCCTTTGTGTTAAAACCGGCTTTTTCGCTTCCACACATACACTCTTGAATCCATCCACTGTTTGGCACAATTAGATTAAAAGAAAATATGAAATAAATACATAATTCCTACCTTTCAGAGAGAAATATAGCAGAGGGTTTGACAGGTGATGGTGTAAACACAGATGTGATTGGTCGACGAGCATTTCCTATGCCCGCGGAGTGATACCAGCATGCACTTAGACTCACATAGTAGAAAGGAAATGCCGCAGTATCTTTGCGCAACAGGAGCATCCAGGTTAAATAGATCCGTGGGATTTTAGTCCTGTTCTTCACACCCTGATGTTTTATTGAGTCGTAAAAGAGTCATATGTGGTGTTCAGGATAGTCATTGATTATTGAAATAATGTTTTCAAGTTATCAGCCCTCGCAACGTCTCACGTCCATCAATCTGACCGGGACTACTTATCATTCATGATGCCCTGTGTGCTCTCAAGGAAGTCAGAGCGTCATACTTTCTCTAAAGTTATAAATGCGTTATATTCTAGTTGTCAATTCAAACTACTAGATAGTAAGTCCATCGTTTTAGTTACTAAGTACATGTTGAGATAGTTAATCCCCCAAAGACCTAAAAAGACGAAATCATGAGATAAAAGTTTAGTCTTTGATTGATACATTTAAATCATCACCTATTCAATTACAAATGTGGCCATTTTTTAATGACATTTTTAGTAATTAACTTGAGTTATGAGACTAAGTGAAAAGCTTTAGCTAGCCTACTTAAAATAATAAAATATAAGATCAAGATTTTAATTATGACGTAAAATATGTGATATGGTAAGTGAAAAATATGATAAGTCAAACTAATGAGATAGTAAGTTGAAAGTTTGGATTACTAAATCAAATATTTTACAATAACAACCCTTGGCGGTGGTGGCGAAGTCCATAGGGACTTGGCTTGGCAACCGGAAGGTAACCAGGTCAAGTCCCGGAAAGACCAAGTGCTACCGAGGTGTCCCTGAGCAAGGCACTGTTCCCGACACTGATCCCCGGGCGACTTACATAATGGCAGCCCACTGCTCCTAACACTAGGGTGGGTCAAATCCAGAGAAACCGTTTCGTTACATAGTACCTGTACTACGTAATGACAATAAGTTGAATCTTCTTCAATCTTCTTAATGATAAGATACTTAATTACTTTTAGGTATAGATCATTACTTACTTTTAACCTATTGTTGTATTTTCCTAGCAGAAATTGCCTTCCATAAGGTATTGATTTGATGAGCTATTAAAATATACATGTAATATCTAAGGAATCCAGTTTAATGGAAACTTTATGTCTGTTCCGCTCTAAGACACTAGGTGGAAGTATTATACAAAAGTTAAGGGAGGTCCAGATACAGTAGCCAAGTACAGCCTTCTGTGCACCTGTAATCTGACATGGTCATATATTGTACGCAACAATATAAAGTAATTCTGTAGGTCGTAAAAATGTGAGTGTTAGTTAATGAGTGCCTGTTTTATATCTCAGACACTTAAACTGAAACTTGTTCTCAGTTTTTTTTTTCAAGCACGGATTTTAACGTCAGTTACAACATATTTGTTTACGATACCAACAAAAAACACAACAAATATTTGTATTTGTATTATAGTTCTCGGACGTAAGTAGATGGAAGGACCGAAGATGCACACACAGGAAGTTTCCGATTGATCACATTTTGACTTTCAAAATAAGAGTAAGCTAAAATTAAACAATAAAGCATTACCATAAAGAAGTCAATTAATATATTTGATTTAATGAAACACAAATTGTAATGATTTCGATGAATTGTGTAGTTTATGCAAACATATGGGGATATAATTAATTATTTTTTGATTTTGTTTTCTGAATGAAAACAGTATGCTGTTCTATTCAGCTCTACTTTTTGTATCTCATTTTCTTTGAGGGGTATTTTGTCATGCAACCATGTAGACACTCACAGTATTGACCAGAAAACCATTACAAAAACATAAAAGATGCACACATTTGTAAAACAAAATGCTATAACCCAACACACACACAGGCTTGCTTAACATGGTGTACTTCAGGAGAAAACATGTATGGAGTACATCTAGCCATTATTATCCCACCCAATCATCAATTGTTAAAATACTAATATACTAATATCCATTTGATCACCTATTTTCACAAAGGGGAACCATCATAACCTACATTTGGAAATGGGCAAACTTTAAATATTTTATTTTGAAATCCCTCACCGGAACCAGTAAGCATTACCATGGGTAACTTGGAGGCTTCTGTCCTCAGGGG